GTATATTAGGAAATAAACCTAAATAATTAGGAAATAAATATATTCTGCTGTTTTAGATAAATGTCATTACATGAAATATACGGGCCTATTGGATCAAGGTCCAACAGTTGGGCCAATTATGGGTCATCTTCTAGCTTAATTTTTCTTTGCTGATATATATATATATATATATATATATATATATATATATATATATATATATATATATATATATATATATAAAATTTAAAAGACGAAAACTCCAACACGAAATGTTGATATATTATTTTACTTTTAAAATGAGATTTCACAATAAATAAAATTGTCATTTAATTATATTTCTGATCTTTGAAATCAAGTACTCTCTCTGTTTCAATTAAGATGACACATTTTCCTTATTAATCTGTTCAAAAAAGAATGACATATTTCTACAATTGGAAATAATTCAACTTTAAACTCTTCATTTTACCCTTAATGAGACGTTTTTATAACCAAACAAGTGTCATGGCCCCACAAAACTTTACCTCTTAAGCTTTTAAGACCACAAGTTTCAAAAGTCTTCTTTTACTTCTTAAACTACGTGCCAAGTCAAACTATCTCATCTATACGAAACAAGGGAGTAATATTTATGGTTTAAAATGTACTCCCTCCGGTCCAAAATAAGTAATTTTTTAGTTGTTTTCACACATATTAAGAAATTCACCTTTTAGCATTAATTAGCAATGAAATTGACCATATTAACCTTTGCTATCTCTTCACATAAATACTCCTAACACATACTCCAACACTATTTACTCCAAGGGCAGTGTAGGAAAAACTAATTAATTCATTCTTGAAATCTGAAAAAATCACTTATTTTGGACCACAAAAAAAAGTCCAAAAAATCACTTATTTTGGACTGGAGGGAGTAGTTGTTATATTCTAGTTTGGCAATAGTATTTTATTCTTTATTCACTTTGACGGAGACAATTCATATAGTATTTCTTATTGATTAAAAAAATAAATCAACTTGCATTTTGCTTGAGAGAAAGAAAAAAAATTATCTTATGTTAGTTACCTGAAATTATATGTGTCTTCCCGAATGAGCTTGAAAAAAAGGATAAACTTGGAAATAGCTTTCCGAATAAATTCAGAAAAGCTTCTAAATTTTCAAAGGTTGTATGTTGTTGCTCTTTGTATAGGTCAGAATCCGACCCCACGATAATTAACGAGGCTAATCCCGTTTTAAGTTAATTCATGATTAATTAGTGGCACGACCACTCAGAATTGACGACGTTCAACCCGCCTCTGGCTCGGTCAACAAGGCCACTTAGAGGCGAGATCTCAACGTGGTCACGGCCACTTATTGCCAGCTCACGAAACCCACAACTATAAATACCAAGAGAGTGGACCCTAGAAAGGGGGCTGCTTCTTCTCCACTAGAGATAGGAGAGAGAAGGGAAAAATATACCCATCTTATGGGAAGAGAAAATACCATTGTAAGGTCCGAACCTCTTTATGGAGAGGCAGATCAAACAAATATTATCAATAAAGGTTTCGAATGTTTCTCCCCCTAATTCTGAGCACTTATTTTCGTTTCTTTCATTTGGTCCAACGGATTATTACGATTTGCTATGATTTTCCCGTGATTATTTGTATTGTTTTGCATTCATAAGATATGTGATAACTTTTGAGCAAACAATTTGGCGCCATCTGTGGGGATTTCATAGCAAAATCGCATAGTTCTTCCATGGACCAAAAGGAAAGAAACGCCGGTTGGGAAGAACAACCCAGCAAAAACAAGCCAAAGCAGCATATCAGGCCGATGGAACTCGAAGATCTCGAATCGAGGTCCGGTTCCTCTGTCCCTCATCTATCTAATGGTGCAAACAAGAAGAAGCAGCCCCCCTTCTTTTGGGGAGAATCTTCGTAAGAGATCTCCCACATCCCTGAGAAGGGCTCCAACCGGAAACCAGCACGGAGGAATCTCGAATCGAGAAGCACTTCGAGACAGCCTACATACCCCGGTTGGGAAGATAACGATTAAGCTGCTCAAGATCTCGAATCAAATCCGAGCTTCAGCTCCCAAAAACCCACGAACCAAAAAAGTTCAACAACAGTTGAACCGGGAATCAGGCTACGTGCCTTCGCCATTATTTCAAGGCTATGCGCCTTCGGCAAAAAGTTCAATTACAGTTGAACCATGACTCAGGCTACACGCCTTCGCCATCAAAATCAACCAAGTTCAACAACAGTTGAACTGGGATTCAGGCTATGCGCCTTCGCCAAAAAGTTCAACTATGGTTGAACCATGACTCAGGCTACGCGCCTTCGCCATCAAAATCAACCAAGTTCAACAACAGTTGAACTGGGATTCAGGCTATGCGCCTTCGCCAAAAAGTTCAACTACGGTTGAACCATGACTCAGGCTATGTGCCTTCATCATCAAAATCAACAAAGTTCAACAACAGTTGAACTGGGATTCAGGCTATGCGCCTTCGCAAAAAAGTTCAACTACAGTTGAACTGGGACTCAGGCTATGCGCCTTCGGCAAAAAGTTCAACTACGGTTGAACCATGACTCAGTCTATGTGCCTTCATCATCAAAATCAACAAAGTTCAACAACAGTTGAACTGGGATTCAGGCTATGCGCCTTCGCCAAAAAGTTCAACTACAGTTGAACTGGGACTCAGGCTATGCGCCTTCGGCAAAAAGTTCAACTACGGTTGAACCATGACAGGCTATGTGCCTTCATCATCAAAATCAACCAAGTTCAACAACAGTTGAACTGGGACTCAGGCTATGCGCCTTCGCCAAAAAGTTCAACTACGGTTGAACCATGACTCAGGCTATGTGCCTTCATCATCAAAATCAACAAAGTTCAACAACAGTTGAACTGGGATTCAGGCTATGCGCCTTCACCAAAAAGTTCAACTACAGTTGAACTGGGACTCAGGCTATGCGCCTTCGGCAAAAAGTTCAACTACGGTTGAACCATGACAGGCTATGTGCCTTCATCATCAAAATCAACCAAGTTCAACAACAGTTGAACTAGGACTCAGGCTATGCACCTTCGCAGATAAGTTCAACCACGGTTGAACCATGACTCAGGCTATGTGCCTTCATCATCAAAACCAACCAAGTTCAACTACAGTTGAACCGGGACTCAGGCTATGCGCCTTCGCCAAAAAGTTCAACTACGGTTGAACCATGACCCAGGCTATGTGCCTTCATCGTCAAAATCAACAAAGTTCAACAACAGTTGAACTGGGATTCAGGCTATGCGCCTTCGCCAAAAAGTTCAACTACAGTTGAACTGGGACTCAGGCTATGTGCCTTCGCCAGTAAAAATCAACTACGGTTGAACCATGACTCAGGCTACGTGCCTTGGCTAGTAAATTCAACTACGGTTGAACCATGACTAAGACTATGCGCCTTCATCGTACAAATCGAAAAGTTCAACTACGGTTCGAACCATGACGACAGGCTATGTGCCTTCATCATCAAAATCAACCAAGTTCAACAACAGTTGAACTGGGACTCAGGCTATGAGCCTTTGCCAAAAAGTTCAACCACGGTTGAACCATGACTCAGGCTATGTGCCTTCATCATCAAAACCAACCAAGTTCAACTACAGTTGAACCGGGACTGAGGCTATGCGCCTTCGCCAAAAAGTTTAACTACGGTTGAACCATGAATCAGGCTATGTGCCTTCATCATCAAAATCGACTTTCAACGACAGTCGAACTGGGACTCCGGCTACGTGCCTTCGCCAATAAGTCCAACCACGGTTGAACCTAGACTCAGGCTATGCGCCTTCGCTATTGAATCCAACGAGCTCGACCTCGCTCGAACTACGAGGATGGACGCCTTCGTCCTCAACTTTAGCAAGTTCAACCACAATTGAACCGAGACTCAGGCCAAACGCCTTCATCTGTGAAAGCAAAGCCCGACCTCCAACAAATCGAAGCGCAGGATAGGCACCCTCGCCATTCAAGTAAGTTCCCCCAACTCGAATTAAGATTCAGGCTACGTAAAGTTCGGCCCCGGTCAAACTACGAGGCCGCGTTTTCTACCATCACGACCGGTAGTTCGACCGCGTCCGAACTGGGACTAAGGCTAAGTGCCGCTATCGCCAAATAACGGCCAAGACTCGCCCGCACCGAATTGAAAAAGCAAGGCAATCAACTATATTATGGCTAGGGCCATCGCCGCCAACGGTCGACCTAGATTCGACTACGGTGAGTAAACGACCCGACGACGGTTGAAGTTGCCTCTATGGCTAAGGTCGTCGATTCTATCACGACTAAAGTCGTCGATTTAAATTCGACTAGGGCCGCCAACGTGAACGGTCAACAAAAAGCGCAACAAAAACTCTAAAGAACGAAAGAAAAACAGTGACAAAAAACAAGCACAAGGCAGGCAATGGAAAAGAAAATTTGTATATTTACAAAGTCAATTGCGGGTCATCCCCGCTTACACCCGGCCAAGGCCGATCAATACAAGAAATAAAAAAAAAGGAAACACCTAAACGCCAAATGGCGAACAAGACAAGAAAAATGCATAATCTTTTTACTCGGTGCCGTCTGCGCCACCGTCTGCACCAGCGTCAGCCTCTGGCGTCGCCACGTTAAAACCACAGTCGGCACGTGCCTCACGAGCCTTCTGACGTGCCCCCTCGAAAGCAGCATCGGTCACGACTCCAGCCTCCCACAAACTCTTATATACATCACGTTGGGCCTCGGCAAAGACCCAAAGTTCCCGAGCCTGGCTGGAAGAAGCGCCGTGATCCCGTAGCCGCTATTCTCTTCTTCTAAGGCTGTGATCCGGTCCGCCATGACCTGGGCGTCCTGCTCAAAGACACCAATCCGCTCCTCGAGACTCGCTTCTCTAAAGACCGCAGCATCCCTTTCCAATGCCCGTTGGGATTCGTACACGCGGATAGCCTCCTCCAACGCCCCGGCCCTCGACGAAGCATCCCTCACTTGGAGCTTCAATGCCGCGACTTCACCCTCCAACGCGGTCACTTTCCCGCTCCATGCCGCAGCGGCCTCCGCCGCCTTGGCCTTGCCCCGGCGCTCGCACTCAGCTGCGGCCCTCTTTACCGCCTCGATCTCCTCATCCTTTCGGCGGAGCTGCCCCTTGAGAGCACTCGTCCTGCCAAGTATTTGCTGCATCTGAAGCTCCCGCCTCGCCAGCTCTTCGACCAAGGCCCGGCTCCGAGGATCATTCTTCAAGCGCACGCGCAACTCTCGGCACTGATTTCGGTAGCGGCGATACTTCTCCAGCGCCCGCAAAAATATCCCCGAACGGACCTTGGCTCGATGAATGCTCTCCACCTCCAACAGATAAGACTACAAAGCAAAGACAACGATCAGAATAAAAGAATAAACCTAAGGCAAAGAATAAGCGAACCGACGCAACAGTACATACCCTCAAGCCCATCACGGCTACTTCATTCATTAGCCTGATATCCGTAATGCCCCTCAACGATGCATTCGCGGCCTCCGAGCATAGCGTCTCGAACTGCGGCACCAAGCTTTCACTTGGAGCAATAAGTTCAGTTCCGTGGGAACCTCGATAAAGCGAGATCGCCCCTCTGTGCGCACCGCTGAATTGGTGGAGCCTTCCTGGAACATACGGACGTCGTCGGGATCCAGGTCGGATTCAGACTCATCCTCACCCACATTAGCAGCCGCTGAGGAACTACCTCCCGTCTCAGCGACTGGAACCACCAATTGAGTCGCCGAAGCGACGGTATCATCACGGCCTAAGCCAACCGGGGCAACCCCTATTGATTGTCCGCCCTCGAGGGCAGGCGCCGCAGCCGCATTCCTCTCCGCGTCCGCCGACGGGGAGCCCAAATTAATTACCACAGGAGGAGCCGGAACACGACCCTACGCCTTATCAACGGCCTCTCCTCCTCCCCATCTGATGACGATTCCGCTCTAGGACGCACAACCCCCGATGGCCCCTCGTCCCGAAGTAGGGTCCGTGATGGAGAAGAAACCGCTGAAGACTCGACTGATGCCGCCCTCGGTGTTAAGCGCGACACCGGCGCTGCAGTAAGCCGAGCAACTGCACCAGGCCGACAGAAGGCCAGTTGAGGGGCCCTGACGCGGCGTGCCCTCCCTAATCACAAGAAAACAAGGTTAATGAATAGAGCTGAAACAAAGCGGAACAGAAGAAGAGATCAATTTTTTACCTGCCGCGGGCCTACGACCATACCTCTCCCAGAAAGACGCCCACGTTCGTATCCCCCTCGTATGGGGGAGTACGGCCTCGACCCACTCACGTATCCAAGACAATGGGGGCGGCGGCGACCTGTCGGCTACAAAAAAGACACGAGTTAACGCTCATAAGCACAAATCACAAAGAGGGGAAGAAAAGAGAATTCAACCACTAAAGAACTTACGTGCATGGTTCCAAGCCTCTGGGAACCCAGTAGCATCCGCCACCAGGTGCTTGGTCCTAATATAAAAGAAGTGCTCGAAAGGGCGGGGGTCGACCTCGTCATCCAATCTCATGACCAGGCCCCTCGACCCACGAGGGCACGCCTGAATCATGGTACCACGGACTCTCTGGGGAGTGTAGAGACTCAGCACATGCTGCAGCGTGACCTCCCTTCGGGCCAATTCCGCGTACTTGATGAACATTGACAACAGTTTGTAGAGGGAAGGAGTGAGCTGACCCGGGCACACCCCGTAATAACGGCAGAAATCCACCACCAGCATTGGGAGCGGGATCTTGAACCCCAACCTGAAAGGATAGGCGTAGAAAACGCAGTATCCCCTGCGGTCAGTGTGGACCCTCTCCTCGCTTCTAGCGAGAAAGATGTCTACATGGGTAGGAACGACCCCCTGTTCCGCAATCGGGCCATCCCGATCTCCCCCATCAACGGGGCTTCATCCACCGGTTCCTCTCCACCGTCGACGGTGAAATCAATTGCCAGACCTCCGAGCCAAGGAACCACCTCGTCAACCGACGGAATTTCGCCGGACTCCATCTGTTCTGCACCTCCCATCGCCGGAGATGGCCCTACAACTACCGGAAAATCTACCGGAAGAGCACCGTAGGAAGAACTGACTGCCATTATTGATCTACTGAAGACAAATGATACCACAATCAAAGGAAAGAAAAGAGAAGATGAATTAGCGAAACGAAAAAGTTTCCTCAGAGTCTCTCTCTCAGATGAACAATGAAGATATGAGAAATGAATGCCTCAACCCACCTTTATAGGCAACATAAATGGCTTTCGCGAAACCCAATAGCCATCATTAACTGCACGACCAACCGTAAAATGGTTCGGTCCTGTCGTAGCAAGCGTCATTACGACGAGCTCCGCAAAGCGGCTTCCCAGCCATCCGCCAACATACCACCGTCAGAATAATCGCAACGACCTGCGAACGCTGAAAGAATGTGCCGTACGCCGTTAAAATTTTGGACGACCAAATACGTACCCGGCGCATACTCATTCCCCACGGCCATCCTCAAAATATGAAAGGCTACGGCCATCCCTAATGTATGAAAGGCTCTCTAATATATGAAAGGCTACGGCCATCCTCAATATATGAAAGGCTACGGCCATCCCTAATGTATGAAAGGCTCTCCAATATATGAAAGGCTACGGCCATCCTCAATATATGAAAGGCTACGACCATCTCTAATGTATGAAAGGCTCTCCAATGTACGAAAGGCTACGGCCATCTCCAACGTGTAAATGGCTAAGGCCACCGCCGCCAATAAGTCGACCCCCTTATTCGAGTTGTTTTCAAATCACAATCGATGAAGTCCGCTCATCGAGCTCGGCTGAAACACGACCTCAATAAGCGGAGGGACTAACTGTATGGGTCAGAATCCGACCCCACGATAATTAATGAGGCTAATCCCGTTTTAAGTTAATTCATGATTAATTAGTGGCACGACCACTCAGAATTGACGACGTTCAACCCGCCTCTGGCTCGGTCAACAAGGCCCTGGCCTATCCGCCACTATAAAGGCGAGATCTCAACGTGGTCACGGCCACTTATTGCCAGCTCACGAAGCCCACAGCTATAAATACCAAGAGAGGGGACCCTAGAAAGGGGGCTGCTTCTTCTCCACTAGAGATAGGAGAGAGAAGGGAAAAATATACCCATCTTATGGGAAGAGAAAATACCATTTTAAGGCTCTGAACCTCTTCATGGAGAGGCAGACCAAACAAATATTATCAATAAAGGTTTCGAATGTTTCTCCCCCTAATTCTGAGCACTTATTTTCGTTTCTTTCATTTGGTCCAACAGATTATTACGATTTGCTATGATTTTTCCGTGATTATTTGTATTGTTTTGCATTCATAAGATATGTGATAACTTTTGAGCAAACACTCTTAATATTCATGTGATTTCTAAGAAAAAAATATTTCGAGATGGATACATGCACAATGCTTCATACTAAAACTAGTAAATAAATAAAAAAGATGATATATAAGTTCTAAGATATTATTCAGCGGGCCAGTTATTTGAATGAGTTGTCCAAATATTTGTTGCAGTATAAAAGAAAAGAAAAGAGATTTTTACATTGTAGGTCCCGAACAAAAAATATTTATATTAATATTACTATTTTTGGTTTACAACAGATTTTATAACAAATGTAGCACATTCAAATAAAATACTATTTTCCTTTTTTTTTGAACATAAAAGCATGATAATTATATTACTAAACAAAAGAGTTACACGAGTTAGACATAGATTTGACGGCATTACTATTGCCCAAAGTTGCAAGGAAATTACAAACACTAGTAGAGATAGTTCTTAAAATATTACAAGAGTCCTGCTTGTCCTTTTGTAGTTCTTTTTGCACAAACAGAGGCGGACGAGCAAGGCAAAAATATTTGTCACTGGGAGGTTTCTTCAAAGCTTCCTTAGCCAGTCTATGAGCCACTTCATTTCCTTCCCTAAAGCTGTGCTTCAGTACTGGGAGCTTCGGCCGGTGCATTAACCATCTGCATTCAAGAATCACATTTTGAAAGTTAGTGCCTTCTTCGTATAGTAGTTTGACAACATCTGTGCTATCCGTCTCAATTTTCATGTTTGTATCTCTAAAGTCTAGTGCAATTTTTAGTTCTTCCAGGAGGGCTAAGAGTTCTGCATGTACGGGAGAGGCTGCATGAGTCATTTTTTGGTAACCTAAGATCCAGCCACCATTGCTATTACGAAAAGATCCACCAATACCTGCAGCATGTTTAGTAGAAGAGAAAGCACCATCACAGTTAAGTTTAATAGTGTTTATAGGGGATTTATGCCACTTGGTTTCAACAGTTATTGTCTTGTTTTTAAAGTGGTGCCTTTCCGTGAAGAAATGATATTCCCATGCAAAATGCATGGGAGTTTTTATAGAGAGGTGATCTTGGAGGTTGTTTACATTATTACTATTTCTATTCTTCCAAATTTCCCAGATGCAAAAAGGAAAAAGAGTTTTCCAATTTATCAAATGGGAGTTTGACTAATGAAGGCATCTCTAAGCTTAGAGAGCCAGTTTATGTCTCCCATATTGATTTGAATACTAATGCCCATGGCCTTCCAGAATTGTAGGGAAGAAGTACAGTGTAGAAAAATATGATGAATATCTTCAGCGCCCATTCTACAAGTAGTGCAAGTTGCATCTATGTTTATGCCAATTTTACTGAGGTAAGCTCTACAAGGGACACGGTTGTGACTACATTTCCATAGAAATATTTTAATTTTGTTGGGGCAGTGGAGGTCCCAAATCCATTTATAACAGTTGGAAGGAGGGGTGGCTTGATTGAGAAGTTTATAGCAAGATTTTGTGGAGAAAGCACCAGTGGAGTTAAGCTTCCAACTTAGGTCATCAACCATGGAATTTTTTGCCGGAGTAGGTGTAAGATTAATATTGTTGATAATATCAGGAGGTAATTCAAAGCTAATTTTGCTAATGTCCCATGCTTTTCCTTTATAAAGGTTGCCTAGGGAGAGTTGAAGATCAGAAATATTAAGGGGGCCCTCAATAGTGCTCCTTAGGGTAGGTGTATTATAAATCCAATTATTAAGCCAACGTTTAAGCACGAGTTTTTGGAGGGATGCCATAGGATTCCATTATTACAAAGTTTCCATCCTTGAAGAATGGATTTCCAAATGAAAGAGAGATTAGTAAAATTTTTTAAGTGGGCATACTTGGA